CATCTCCAGTGAGTGAAGACAACAGTAAATGTTCTTTACAGTCTGGTGCTCATTAATGATGAATAACACAAACTGCAGAACTTGCTGAGTGCACTTTTAGTTGCTGTGAGTGCAAGAACTATGAAGAAGTATTTATGGTGGTATTCATCCACTCAACTTGTTTTATATTTTTTTAATATATTGCCATAACTGCAAAATAGTAAATAACAATTAATTAACTCTTTGCAATGGGAAACATCAAGAGGTTCCTCTTTACACACACTAGCCCACCCACACACCATTATAGCAATGCCACTAATTATGAGAATAGGATTCTGCCAATATATAAATTAATGCATTTTGCTCACCAACGCAATGCCTGTTCCAAGCATTAGTCTACAAAAGGGTTAAAATGTATGAAACATTAACTTTTTAGAATATAATTTACATTCCCAACAGCAATCAGCACAATAACATAATGAAATATCTATTTATATTCAGTAATTTATTGCAGTATAACGGATCACGTTCCTTGTATATACATGTATAGTATTGTATCTACTGTGTGTTTTTGTGTGTGTGTGTGTGTATAGTTTCTGTTTTTTATTACTAGTATAGTTATACAACTAATAAAATGTTGTTCTTATTGTCAGTATAGTTACTGTATTTTGCGCATGCATATTTTACATATATATACTTTATATATTTAAAATGTTATAGTGAATGCATGTGCTGTACGATTGTCATTACAAGAGAAGATAGCAATCAAGGGTAGACAGCCTGTCTTGCTGTAATCTTTTCAGTGAGGTAAATTTTTATTGATTGACAAAGAAAAAGCCCAAACTCCAATAACACCCCAGGCATTCCAACACACAAATATATATATTTGGTCAGGATCAAAAAGCCAAGCATACAATAAGTTGAGTTATACAACTTATTGTGTTATACATGTAGTAGTAACATCTCGGTTGAGATGTGCCAAAACTGACGAATGGGGTAGGGCCTGAAAAAGAGAGCCCACCTATTGGAGTATATATATGTAAAAGGGAAAGAAGGGAGGATTTCTAAAATGTAGGCTGAACACCAGGAAGTTGCTTGGAGGAGGGAGTACATATAGGCCGTCAACAAACCTGCACGGCTCCTCTCCTCAGGCCACCCGGCCTGAATGCACTACATTGCCGCACTACTGCAGTCCTCAGCCCACGCTCCACGTGGCTCCCTCTGCTAGTTTGCAGGCCAAACTGCAGCTCATTAAATAAAATTATTCCGATGATGTCACACCCTTAAAGGGACCGCTTCGTCGAGGCGACCCCATGCTGTTTGGGGTCGCAGAGAAGACATGGGCCAATGGGAACTCTTCTTGACCTATTTTAGGCCTGCTCATTGCCCTGTCATGGTTTCTGTCCTGATATGCGTTAGTGCAATATATAAGTCTCTCTTGTATTTCTGTTATTGACCTCGACTCGTATTTGACTTGATTTTTCTTATCCTGACATGGCTTTGTATTTGACTTGTGATTTTCTGGTATCCTGATCTGGCTTTGTATATACTCTGTGTATTTCTGTATTCCTGACCTTGGCTTACCCTGACCTTATTTCTTGCTGTTTTATTACTGGGTTTTTTGTGGGTTTTCACTTTCCTGCATGTTGGGGTAAGACTCCCGTGCCAATAACAAATCCCTGTAGTGTATAAGCATAGTTGTACTTAGATTAATACAGCAACTGAGTGTACAAACTTCTAGTTTGTTAGGAAGAAAGCATCTAGGAATTGAACGTGTCCGTAATGAAAAATGATACCATAACCCTGTGCCAAGCTATGTTAGCTATACGACTGTTGTTGTATATTAACTGTTGATTGTGAGCAGTGCTCCATACGAGTTGCTGTAAAGAAATACTAACTTTCAGATTGACTCCCTTAGATGTTTTAACATTTGTATTCACTTTTTTTTTATGTGGCAACAGTCTAGTAAGTACTAGCTAGCCGCAACATTATATATACAGCTATTTAATAGCTGTGTAGGCAAAACAAGCAATAATGATTATCATGTAAACAGATATAGCAAGTCATTCCAAATCATAATAAAAATAAATGATTGTACAGAATGTATTCCTGTAAAAATACATTTCACCCCTATTGCTTCTTTCAACATGATGAAGTACAAAGTGATGATGAAAAAGTAATGTAAAGACTAAGGATACCACCACTGATACAATTTCAATGTTCAAGTCTTTTGTAGAGTAAATAAAGCACGTAGAAAACAACAGTGGCAAAAATACACCATTTGTGTCATTGTCGGAATCAAACTTTCAACATAACCTTGACTGCAAAGATTTGCTTTGAACAAATTTTTCAGGAACAAAAAAATTGATCTGGGGGCATTTTAAGTAAGATAAATGTCTAAGGGTAAATTAAATATCATCATCTCCTCAAATTTATATTAACTTAAAAAGCGTATTTATATGTTATCTAAGCAGATTGTATTTTAGTCAACATTAACATTATCATGCTGTATAGATGTTCAGTTAAGTGTGGTGTGCAGAGCAAGGTCAAAAACTGGGAAGCCTCGTGAGGTGCTCATTGGTTCAGTAATTGCAGTTAGGATGTAATTTTAGACAATCAGATAACGCATTTTAGCTCTGTACTTTAATGCTACACTCTCTCTGCTCACTCATCCTAGTGGACTAATTGAGCTTATCCACAGTGTAAAACGCTAAGAAAAGCAAATGGTAATTTGAAACTCCACAATTCATTAGTAGGGTTGACTGAATCTGATACGCTAGATGGTGGGTTTAATGTTATCAATTAGTGTGAGTTAATATCTCAGTATAGAGGCTGAGATCGAAATTATCACGTGTGGCTTTCATTAGGTCACAAAATGGGTTACCTTAGGAAGCTGTTTCTATAAAAAAAAAAATAAAATTATCCTAGTCTATATTCAGCACATTTTAAAAAAACAACTCACTTTGCACAGAAAACAATGTAAAATCAATCAAGTTTTCATGTTTTAACGTCCCCAGAGTAGTGTTCAGCACAATTGCTCAAATGACTTTCACATTGTTTAATTTTTATGATTTTAACACACATGCTTCTAGTAAATGTGCTTGCTTTGCATGCTTCATTTGTCTGTACCTTTTTGTGGTGAATTGTCTGAGTCTATTGTAACCAGTAATCATTGCTATTAAAGGCTGTCTGTCATGCGAAAAATTATATGGTATCACTTTAAAGATAATAGAATTGTATCACTACATTGTGCATCTTAAATTGCTTTAAAATGCATACACTAAATTTTATTTATATATTTTGCTTCCAGCAATAAAGATATGTAAGTTTCTATTTTTGGTTATCTCAAGTCTAGTTTGGTGTAGGTAGGGCCATGTTCTGGACTTTATGGGATACTACACTACATATTTGGGAACAGGCGTCATCTCTCCAAATGCACTCTCATTTGCATTTCAGAGAAAGCAAATGAATGTTTTAGTTAAAGGATCACTATAGTGTCAGGAAAACAAAGCAGTTTTCCTGACACTATAGTGCCCTCAGGGTTCCCCTCACGTGGCGCTGAAGGGGTTAAAACCCCTTCAGCCACTTACCTTAATCCAGCACCGGGCTCCCTCGGCGCTGGTGACCTCTCCTCCCCGCCGACGTCAGTTCCCTCTGCCGACGTCAGTTCCCTCTGCCGACATCAGCAGAGCCGAATGTGCATGCGCGGCAAGTGCCGCACGCGCATTCAAAGTGTCCATGGACGCTCTGCGCGATTGAGGCATAATATGACAGCCACTAGAGGCTGGATTAACCCCAAATGTAAACATAGCAGTTTCTCTGAAACTGCTATGTTTGCATTTGAAGGGTTAAAACCTGAGGGACCTGGCACCCAGACCACTTCATTGGTCTGAAGTGGTCTGGGTGACTATAGTGTCCCTTTAAGTATGGGTTTAATGTATACATGTGTAGGCAATTGTCTATACAGAAAATGCACTTCAAAACCTACTTGAAGCTGACATACACAAATATATCAACTATATCTTTGCATTAGAAGTCCACTTTTAAACTCTTAGACCAAACCCTAAGGTCTCATGAATTGTGCATCATCTATGTGGGTTGTTACTTATTTAAAGTTGTATATAATAGCTGACTTGGGAAAAAGATGTTGTTGTCCAGTCCCATATGCCTATCTGTAACCCAGTGGGTACATGGGTGGATTAAATAAGACATTTACTAAACAGCTTTGGCTGCCCATTTGCTATTGACAGATCCATGGTAGTTTGTCAGTGCCCAACATGTTCCCACTCATTGCTCATAGGTGGAGAGTTAAACAATAAAATAATAAAATAATTAAAATAGGTACCGTATGCACTCGAGTATAAGACAAGTTTTTCTGCACATTTTTTTGTGCTCAAAAAGCCTCCTCGTCTTATACTTGAGTCAAGGTCTGTATTATGGCAAATTATATTGCCATAATACAGACCATGACATGTTGGGGGCCGGAGCAAGCTGTTACTTACCTTTACAGCAGCTCCTGTCAGCTCCTAGCACCTCCTCGCGGCTCCTCTGTTAAGCTCCCAGTGTAAATCTCGCGAGACACGCGGGCCGCGAGATTTGCACTGGGAGAAGACCGCGAGTAAGTACGGTCCGGTAATTGTTTCCGGCCCTCCCCCTGCACAGCCCCCCCTCCCTGGCCAAGTATGAATTAGGGAGGGGGGGACAAAAACGTTAAAATAATAATAATAAAAAAATAATAATAAAAATGCCCAGTTTATGGGAGTCTGACTCCCTTTTCTAACACCCTGTATATAATGCAGAGTGTGTGCACTATATACACACACACTCTGCGTTAAATACAGGGAGTCAGACTCCCATCAACCTGAGTCACCCTCTAAAATGCAGAGTGTGTGTGCATATAATGTAGAGAGTGTGTGTATATAATACACACACTCTACATTATATACACACACTCTACATTATATACATACACTCTGCATTTTAGAGGGTGACTCAGGTTAATGGGAGTCTGACTCCCTTTTCTGGCTCCCTGTATATAATGCAGTGTGTGTGTGTATATAATGCACACACTGCATTATATACAGGGAGTCAGAAATTGGAGTCAGACTCCCATCAACCCGAGTTACCCTCTAAAATGCAGAGTGTGTGTATATAATGTAGAGTGTGTGCATTATATACACACACACTCTGCATTATATGCACACACACTGCATTTTAGGTGCAAGAGGGTGACTCAGGTTGATGGGAGTCTGACTCCCTTTTCTGACTCCCTGTATTTAATGCAGAGTGTGTGCATTATATACACACACACTCTGTATATAATGCAGAGTGTGTGTGTGTATAGTACACACACTGCATTATATACAGGGAGTCAGAAATTGGAGTCAGACTCCCATCAACCTGAGTCACCCTTTTGCACCTAAAAGGTAGGCAACAGGAGGGTGACTTAAATATTATCTACAGTATATTTAATATTAAGTGTGTGTGTATGTGAGTGTGCGTGTTTGTATGTATGTGTCTGTCTGTAATATGTATGTTTGCATGTCTGTTTGTATGTGTCTTTGTATGTATGGCTTGTGTGTGTCTGACTGTGTCTATCTGTATGTACGGTATGTGTCTTTGTATGTGTGTCTGTATGTATGTGTGCCTGTCTGTCTGTGTGTGACTCTGTATGTATGTGTCTGTGTGTCTCTGTATGTATGTGTGTGTGTTATTGTCTGTCAGGGGGTAAGAAGGAGGGAGGGAGGGGCCACTGGTCCCACTTACCGGTTCTCCGGTGCAGTGCATGTGTTCTCCGGTCTCTCCCACTCATCCTCTGCAGCCTCTGTGGGTGGTCCAATGACTGTTGATATCGCCGCTCTTCTTTTCTCCTGCACACCGGCCGTAACGCAGCGCATGCAGTAACACTGCGTGTATAGTATGAGCCCCAACACAGGCTGCTCTATGCAAACATAGTTGGCATTCTTTTTCAAAGTCTTTTTTTTAATCCTGTTAGGAATGGATCCCAATACTTCTAATCCCGGACCAAAACAAAAACCCAGGTCATATGAAGCTGGTTTCAAGCTCAAGGTTGTGTCAAGAGCAAAAGAAAGCAATAACAGTATTGCAAGTAGGGAATTTTGTGTTGGCGAAAAACAAGTGAGGGAGTGGAGGAAAATGAAAGCTGACTTGGAAAAGATTCCACAGGCAAAAAAAGCTTGACGTGGTTTAACGACTTCATATGGGGCTCTAGAGACTGAATTGCATAAATGGGTTATGGAGTGTTGTCAAAATGGTTACTGCGTAACACGCATGGGAATTCGCTTATGTGCACTTCAAATGGCTAAAGATGAAAAATTAAAAGCACCAGGCATTGAAAATTTTGTTGCGTCAGCAGCATGGTGTAGGTTTTCCCTATGTTTGCGGCAAAGAACAAAGATTTCACAGAAGTTGCCAAAAGACCTTGATGAAAAATTAATGTAATTCCATTCATTCATCATAAAACAAAGAAGGATCCATAACTATGACCTGGGAGATATTGGTAATATGGATGAAACACCTATGACTTTTGATCTTCCAAGCAACAGAACTGTGGCAAGTTTGGGAGACAAAACTATTTTACTCAGAACCACAGGGAATGAAAAAAAAACATTTCACAGTCGTTCTGTCATGTTTGGCTAATGGAACAAAGCTACGGCCGTCATTATTTTTAAAAGAAAGACCTTGCCTAAAAAGGTCAAATTCCCACCACGAATTACAGTGCGCGCACATGTTAAAGGCTGGATGGATGAAGACGGAACAAAAAAATGGCTGGAAGAAATTTGGAACGGACGACCAGGAGCAGCCTTAAAGAAAAAACCATCATTGCTAGTTTGGGATATGTTCAGAGCCCACACATCTGATGACATAAAAAAAAGTCTTCTCAAGTTACTTTGGCCGTTATTCCAGGTGGGCTTACATCTGTATTGCAGCCCCTAGATGTGTGTTTAAATAAACCTTTCAAAGACCGTGTGCGAAAGAGGTGGCATGAATGGATGAACCCCCGACATAGAGTTGACAGCAAAATGGGTTTGTGATGCATGGGAAGAGATTCCAGAGGACATGGTGCAACGCGCCTTCAAGAAATGTGGCATTAGTAATGATATGGATGGCAGAGAAGACAGCGCTTTGTATGAGGACAGCAGTGATGGTGATGACTGCGAACTCAGTGATGATGACAATGTCTATGCTGATAACCTCACACCAGCTACAGTTGAAGCTCTGTTTGGACATACAGATGATGAGGAATCCAGTTTTGAAGGATTTTAACTCTTTTAGCTGTTTTAGCTGTTTTAGCTTAGTTGGTTTTTGTACTGTTAAAGTTATTGTTGATACCATATTGTTTTTGTTGACCCTCTTTTTCCCTTACAAAGCTAGTTTACTGTTTTTCTTTGAAATAAATATTCAAAAACCTTTAACCCACTGATGCCTCAATTAATGTAATTTTATTGGTATCTATTTTTATTTTTGAAATTTAACAGTAGCTGCTGCATTTCCCACCCTAGTCTTATATTCGAGTCAATAATTTTTCCCAGTTTTTTGTGGTAAAATTAGGGGCCTCGACTTATATTCAAGTCGTCTTATACTTGAGTATATACGGTAAGCATCCTCCTGCTTGTTTCTTCTCCAATTTAGGGATAAAGGATCAGCTAATAACAAGTGATGACCTGCCAAAAATAACAGTTCAAATCTGAGCTGAATGTTCTTTCATTGTTATCGATTTTAATTGATTAATTTTGCAAGATTTCTGCACATGCTCAATCTTGCAAAGAGAATGTGCATAATAGATTTGTGTACTTGTTTAGCATGGCTGTTTTGACCTCAAATTTGAATTTAACTTTTAATTCACTTTGAATTCTCAGCACGTCATACCTTAGTTGATAAATCTGAGAAAGTTAAAAATAGTGATATCTCACATCAGTATCGAGAAATAATTTGTTTGTAGATCAACAATCAACAAGAATGTAGCATAAACACAAAGATGTTAGTGTATAAAAAAATATTGATGATGTAACGCTAAAAAATATTAAATTTTCTGGAAACAAGGCTTGGCTGAAACAAATTCTCTCTGTGCACATGTCTAGTCTAGTACAGACAGTAATGCACAACAAAATATGTAAAAATAAATGTAGATAAAATAAATAATTGCAAACATTCATAACACATTCTAATTGTCTTCTTCATGCTTTCAGTTAACTACAATTTTAATAATGGTCAAACACCATAACACACAATTAAAAAAACAGTACATTTTAAAGATTTCTTAAAAACAAAAAAAAATTCATTTTCTTTTCAGATTATTGGGCCCTACCACATTGCCCTTAATGAGAGATTACTTAACTTCAAACCAGCAGCGAGAGGCTCCATTCCACACTAAGGATATAATCGATTATTAATAGAGACAGAGTCTTAGAGAAGCATTGGGAGGCAGAGCGCATGCATATCAAACACCGTGCTGTACCGCCAATGCCTTTCATACAGAAGCATCAAAACTCTTTGAGGAGCTCTCACTTCTGCCAAGCACTCAGGCAAATAAGGAAGGAACCTTCAACCAGACAGCTTAGAGTTGTTACCAACGGGAAGAGTTGATAAAAGTAGGCCTCCCAAAACTCCTGATTTCAGCAGGACAGTCCCAATATTCGTGTCCTGTCCCATAGTCACTTTTTTTTTATATTCTCTTTTTTTAATCAATTTGCATAAAAGTGATACAGCGAGTGGGCTATTGCCCTGAAATATTGACATATAACAGGACAAATACAGTAAATGGTTTATGTTATAGCATGCAGACTGACATTTTGTTTTTAATACATGAAGCTTTACAACAAAGGAATTACGACGTTGCAAACCCCATAGAGCACAGCAGTATATCACAGGGTACAGGTATTAGCTCATTGGGGCTTAAATGCTCCTTGGGGTCACCCCCTCAAGGGACTTATGTCACTCAGACCTTTTTTGTTCTATAGTTATTCTGGGGGGGTGGGAGCTAGCTTTAAGTAAAACATTTCTAGTGGTTGACAGAGTGACGTGCGATCTCATATGCATGCAGCACTATTGATGTATAACATGTTGAGCAGTAAGTGGGGTTGTATGTCCACCCACTATAACATCACATAACATTGAAATCATAAGTAAGAACAAAAGGGAAAACTGTAAAGCAAAATAACATTATAAACTTGAACTCGATTCATGTTGGTGGAAATTGTGGTCCTCTTATGACGGACAGGCGGATCCTCTGTATTATTGTTCTATCAGGTGGTATCTCTTACTTGGAAGGTACGTCGAGACGGTCTGGGGATGAACTCTGTGACAGTAGCAGGATCCAGTCGAGACAGGTTAAAGCTGTCCGCTTGTTGTGGTACGCTCAGGCCTAAGTGCCTTAAGTTGGTGTCCAGTTCCTATGGCTCCTGGCCCAGTAGGTAGTCCCTTGGTAAGAAATTTCAGAAGTCTTGGAACCCCCAAGCGATAGGGAATATTCTTGGAGCGCAGATGTAGCAAGCTTGGTTGAAGAGTTTTTCACCAGCTGATTGCACTCTTAGTCAGATCTGGGAACAGTAAAATGTGAGAGTTCTCGAATGGCAGTTGTGTTCTCCCACAGGCAGCTGTTAATAGTAAGGCTTTGTCGTGGAGGAATTGAAAGATGATAAGGTCCGCAGTGGCATTTGGGGGTGCATTGCCGGCTTTGGCAGGCAAACATTCCATCTAACTTCATGTTTTTTGCCTGTTTAGGCTATAACAGTGTGAGAAACAGGTGATGAAGTGTGGGAGGTCAGAAAGACCTATGTCGTCAGGAACCCGATGGATTTTTAAGTTGTTTCTCCATCTCTGGTCCTCCAGGGCCTCCACCTTCTCATCTGTGTTAAGTTGCTGTGTTTGGAGGGCTGTTATTTTCTCAGCATAGTTAGTTGAGTATCCCAAGAGCTTGCAGATGCCTCTAGGAGGGTGAGCCTCATGGCGGTGCCTTCAAGGGCATCTTTAAAGTAGGCCATATCTGCTGCTAGGTTCTGCCGGAGTTGAGCAAACATACTTTTTAATAGGTCTGCACTAACAGGATCTCGGGTCTAAGTTGCAGTCTAA